CGGACACCTGCCCATGAACTGTTTTCAAGGGGGCCACATGAGTGAGTAAAAGAGGAACAAAATCACGGACATTAATGCCGCTGGATTAAAATTTCCTCCTATCACACCAAGGGTGATTAGGTCTGGTGATATGTCTGTGGCTTCAGTCTCAACATGCCCCAAAGGAACTGTGGGATCCTGCCAAGAATTTCTGCAAACACATGGTCAACAGCCCTCACAAGATCAATTGTGATCCCAAGACCAACATAATTCACAATGTCCCTGAAGACAACAAGAAGAGTTGAGTCTATGGCATGCAGGTTGTGTATTCCCATAACACACACACATAAGGCCTACAGCTTCACCACTGTACTTGTTGGGTGCAACTAAAGTTGCACCTCGAGACCCTTAGTCCCCTGTATTCTTCACTTTGAGTCAGTTGTCTTAGTTGTCAGCTAAGCCAAACCACCACGAAAATATTTTGCCATGGGTTGTTGTCAAGCAGGTTGTGGATTCCCACAGCATACATACACAAGCCTACAGCTATAAACCCATGCCCAGCATAGTGTATGTCTGGACTAATGCTGAAGTACTCTGAATGTTTGACAGCATACAGTACTTCACCCAGATAATGGCTATGAATGGTCACTTACCTGCTGAAGTAAAATTTAGGGAGAACACTGCTAAAAGCTCAGTATTCCAAGTTTCAATATGCTTGCTGTTTCTTTTGATCATCAGGTTAATTCAGCAGGGCTGAAATTTTACCTAATTGATTTACAGATGGACTTCCAAAAACTTCACTGCAGCAGTTTTTATTTTTGCCAATCACAGGAATGGAAATTTCGTGTAGCAATGCAGTTCATGAGAATTTCGAAAGTATCATGACTTATGATTATTGAATATTCTGGCTTTCACTGAAAAAAGTACCAAATCATTTATGCAAGTGTTCATAGTTATCTGTGTGCATGCAAACACCCATACAAGAGTGAATTTGTATGAAATGTCCACATACTAGTCATGTTGAAGGTGATCAGTTAATCAGTTATTTTCAACATGCATAAGCTTCAGACACGGTTGACAGAGCCATAGTTTTGAAATTCCCAGACTGACAGTCGAATGTACACTTTCCCTGACCAAATGAATTGACAATTTGCCCTGATAATGGCTTCCAAACTTTCACCACAGCCATCTTCTCCACCTATTTATTACATGAATTTATCCTGAATGTAAAGTGCAGAATGGATTGATCTTCTCTTTTAATTTCGTGAAACAATATTCTACCAATGGAACGTACATGTTTAACTTCTGTGAATATGTCACCTTCCTCTCATTTCTTTGAAAGAGTTAAATTTTCATGACTTGTTTATTTGTCCCTTACAGGGAAAAGAATTAAATTTCCTTGGCATAGCAACCATGTCACACATTAATATTCAGAGGAGATCCGAAATGCTGATGTTCTTTGTGAATAATAGGATTGAAACAGAAGGCCAGCACAGGGCTCAAAGTCAGGAACTAACCGGTCGCATATGCGACTGGATTTTTGGTTGTGCGCCTAAAAATTCATGTGTAATTGCACCTGTGTGCTGTAAAACCCAAAGCACAGTGCGACTGACTTACTTCCGAGTATACTTACGAACTCGAACTAGAAAGACGGTGTATGTTTAATTGGTCTTTTCTCCCAATGGATTCTACGAACTCAAATGTTCTTTTTCGTTTCGATGTTTTACTCAATCCCAGACTCTTCTGTTTTGTAATAAACACCGCTGACACATGCAAATATATGCTACTAACAAAACACATACTTTTTGTGCAATAGACGATCATGTCGAACGTTCAGTTTTAACGTCAATCAAAACAAAAACAGTGCAGATTAAGAGCCTTTTTTTCCAGGTAAGAACATTTTTTAAGTCGTATTCCAGTTACATGTAAGTCATTGCGCATTTAACAAATTCATTAAAGATTAATTTTCATTCTTGTTCGACACACTCATTGTTGTCAGTTTTGAATTGTTTTTCAAGTGTAAGTTTTTTTAGTCACAACTGTACTGTCAAAAAGAGAAATTAGTATCAAAAATCACAACGGTATTACTGCGTAGCAAATCGGGTGTGTTTTATCAATCACAGGACTGAAGTAAAAGTAACAAACTGAAGATGACAAATAAACGTGGCACTGTTAAGCTTTTTACTTTTTCTTTTGAAATAGATGCTTCCAACATTATAAGCTGTGCTCCTAAAATTTTGGCAGTGCGCCTAAAAATTTACATCTGGTAGCACAAGAGCCCTGCCAGCATAATAAATTTTTGTTATATTTGACGCATATATAAGGCTGCTGCATACAAGTAGACTGATGGAACCAGATTAAATCTTGAACATTTATTGCTACTCAGTTTCATGTCTCTTGTGAGGCAATCATCAGGCAACTGCTGAAGGTAATGGTTACTATCAAAGATATAGGGAAAACAGAACAATAAATACTATGAAAATTGTAAACAAAAAATTTGGTCCAGTAATGTTTCCCTACATGACAGTCTCGCATTAAAGTAAACTGTTCATTGTAAATTAAAGGTTACTGTAAAAAACCCATTGTTGCTCATGGTGTAAAGGCTTATCAGCTGTCCTCAGTCTGTTTGAAAGATATTCCTCACGTGCATTTTACAGATGGTGTAATTCTTGCTGCCCATCGTTGCCTTGAAAAAGATAACTTTCACTGTAAACTTCAAGCTTACCTCCTCACAGCTTTTGTTGCCATTTGTATTGGCGGCATTTTCTCCAAGTATCTGCTGTCAGTGTTCCTTCTCTTGATCTGTTTTGTTTGCAGGGTAATTGTAGTATTTGAATGACTTGCCCTTTATAATGCCCAGGAACCATCATGAGGAAAGTACAGACAAGGGAAATGTGTGAATGCAAATTTGTTTGATGTTAATCACAAAGAAAAAAAAGTGCTGCTGTGAACCTTGTGGAAGTCCATTTGTGAATTGATTAAGTAAGATTTTCACCCTGCTGAATTAAGCGTATGATGAAAGGAAATAGCAAGCATGTTGGAACTTGAAATGACTTAGATTAAGGAAGTTAGCTGAGCTTTGGTAACAACACAGCATCTGGGTGATGTATTGTATGCTGTCAAACATTCAGAGTAGTTCAGCGTTAGTCCAGACATCTACTATGCTGGGCATGGTTTATAGCTGTAGACTGTATGTATGCTGTGGGAATCCACAACCTGCTTTTCATAGACTCAACTCTATATATTTTATTTTCTTCAGGGACACTGTGATTCATCTTCATCTTGGGATTGTAATTGATCTTGTGAGGGCTTTTGACCATGCGTTTGCAGGGATTCTTGGCAGGATCACATAGTTCCTTCGTTGGATGTTGAAACTGAAGCCACAGATGTATCACCAGACCTAATCACCCTTGGGTGATAGGAGGAACTTTTGATCCAGCTGCATTAAAGTCCATGATTTGGTTCCTCTTTTACTCATCCATGTAGCCCTCCTGAAAACTTTCCATGGGGAGGTGTTCTTTGCATGGTTTGGCCTGACAGACAACTGAGTCTGTCAAAGGGAAGAATGTGGTAACCAGGTAATCAAGGATGCTATGGTGCAACTCAAGATTGGACCAACAAGTAGAAAAGGCTACCACAAAGATACTTGCGTTGTTCTAGATGCAGCCAACATCTGCCTTATGAGTTTTAGCAACCATCATTTTGTTCCTGGCTTGTTGGAAGTGGTGAATGACGCGACTGTTGTCCAAGAAATCATTGAAGAACTGTTAGGGGAGTTTGCAGGTAAACCTTGTGTCTTGCTCTATTGTTGCCCTAACTTTACCCCAAAGCCACTGAGCATGTACTAGTGAGCAAGCAGAGCCCCGGTTGTTATGGATGTTTTGGAATCTCATTGGAATCCCTCTATACTCATCAAGGTATTTTTGTTTTTTCTGGGGAGTGTCAACCACCCTCCATGGTAATTGCAGGTCTCCTGCTTGATTTTCACCCAGGTTTTACATATTCTGAGAAAGGGGCGGTAGAGTGGAAGGGAAAGTCCCTATGTTTGTACTAAATGAGGATNACTGTGATTCATCTTCATCTTGGGATTGTAATTGATCTTGTGAGGGCTTTTGACCATGCGTTTGCAGGGATTCTTGGCAGGATCACATAGTTCCTTCGTTGGATGTTGAAACTGAAGCCACAGATGTATCACCAGACCTAATCACCCTTGGGTGATAGGAGGAACTTTTGATCCAGCTGCATTAAAGTCCATGATTTGGTTCCTCTTTTACTCATCCATGTAGCCCTCCTGAAAACTTTCCATGGGGAGGTGTTCTTTGCATGGTTTGGCCTGACAGACAACTGAGTCTGTCAAAGGGAAGAATGTGGTAACCAGGTAATCAAGGATGCTATGGTGCAACTCAAGATTGGACCAACAAGTAGAAAAGGCTACCACAAAGATACTTGCGTTGTTCTAGATGCAGCCAACATCTGCCTTATGAGTTTTAGCAACCATCATTTTGTTCCTGGCTTGTTGGAAGTGGTGAATGACGCGACTGTTGTCCAAGAAATCATTGAAGAACTGTTAGGGGAGTTTGCAGGTAAACCTTGTGTCTTGCTCTATTGTTGCCCTAACTTTACCCCAAAGCCACTGAGCATGTACTAGTGAGCAAGCAGAGCCCCGGTTGTTATGGATGTTTTGGAATCTCATTGGAATCCCTCTATACTCATCAAGGTATTTTTGTTTTTTCTGGGGAGTGTCAACCACCCTCCATGGTAATTGCAGGTCTCCTGCTTGATTTTCACCCAGGTTTTACATATTCTGAGAAAGGGGCGGTAGAGTGGAAGGGAAAGTCCCTATGTTTGTACTAAATGAGGATTATACAACCCTGATTTAGGGCCACTTTTACTCCAGGGCACACTTACTACCCTTTCGACCCATGGTCAGAGTGGAAGGAACACCTGTGCCAGCATTTGGGTTTTTCTTCCTCCATGTACATTTTAAAGTAAGGGGTTGTCAATTCATCTCTTTAACCAGCATGGAGATCTGGGTAAGAGAGACCAAGGGATGGCAGTGGGTAACATTGTGGACCACTTTGTATTTTCCTTATTTCCTCTTACATCAAATTGTATGTGAATCATTGGATAACCCACAGGAAGGCATGTGTTCTAGTAATCCTAGGGTGAGAGGGAATTCAAATCCTTGTTAAGAATCGTCTTTTCTACCTTGCACACCAACTGAGTAACATTTTTGCATCCCTTAAAAAGGCATCTCTAGGGTCCAAGGGCATCACCAACTCCAAACAGTGCATACGCTTTAATGCAGGGATGCCTTTTATGGTAGTACACAAATGTTACTCAGTCAATCTGTGAGGTAGAAGAGGAAGAAGAATTTATTCAGTTTCTCTTTGATTATTTCACTTCCCTTTACCCCTACATTACAAATGAACCAGTATCACATGGGTTATGCAGTCATTCATAAACAATTTGATGTAGAAAGCCAGTGTCGTTAGGAGTGCCTTTGGTGTGGCACTTTTCTCTCTTTTGCCCAGTAATCACTTTCCCTTAGAGAGACAAAGCGGGCTGTCATTAAGAGACAGGGACTGGGCATTTCCCGTGGCTACTTTCAAAGGAAAATAGAAGACAATAGATGATTCCCTGCCTACTTTTTGCAATTACCTGGCATCTTAAACGTTAGTGACAATCATGCAAAGTGGTATTTCCCACTATCAAACAAGCACTGCTACCACTGTGGTCTTTGCTGAAGTGAGGGAAAACCAGTGGTCCATAATACCCTTGATGTGGTAAAATGTTACCCCCTGCCACCCTATCTCTCTTACTTGGTGCTTCATGTTTGTTATAGAGACAAATTGACTTCCCCTGCTATAAAACGTGCATGGAAGAGGAAACACCCAAACACTGACATAAGTGCTCCTACCACCTTGATCATAGGTGGAAGGGTAGTGGGTGTGCCCTGGAGTAAAAGTGGTCAGAAATCAGGGTTGTACTATCCTCGAACATAGGGATTATCCCTTTAACTCTTCCACCCTTCCCTCAGACCATGTAATATCTGGGTGAACATTAGGCAGGAAACCTGTATTTGCCAACAAGGGTGGGTGATAATCCCCAGAAACATCATCAACACCTTGATGAGTGTTAATAGAGAGAGAGATTCCAATTAGAACCCACAACATCAAAAACAGCTGATGGCTTTGCCTGCTCACTAGTATACACTCAGTGGCTTTTGGGTATTGTTAGGGCAACAACTGAACAAGATGCAAGTTTCACCAGCAAATTCCCTGAATAACTTCTTGGACAACAGTTGAGTCATTTGCCACTTCCTACAAGCCAGGGATGAAACGATGGGTGCTAACGGAGGTGTCGGTTGCATCTAGAACAACACAAGCATCTCTGTGGCAGCCTTTTCTACTTGTTGGTCCAATCTTGAGTTGCACCATGGTATCCTTGACCACCTGGTTACCTCATTTTGCCCTTCGACAGATGCAGTTGTCTGCCAGGCGAAACCATTCAACGAACACCTGCCCATGAACTGTTTTCAAGGGGGCCACATGAGTGAGTAAAAGAGGAGCAGAATCACGGACTTTGTTGCAGCCAGATCAAACTTTTCTCCTATCACACCAAGGCTGATTAGGTCTGGTATTATGTCTGTGGCTTCAGTCCCAACATGCCACAGAGGAACTGTGGGATCCAGTCAAGAATCTCTGCAAACGCATGGTCAACAGCCCTCACAAGATTAATTGGGATCCCAAGATGAGGTGATTCACAGTGTTCCCGGGGACAATAAAATATATAGAGTTGAGCCTATGACAATCACATTGTGTATTCCCACGTCATACATACATAAGGCCTACATATTCACGACGATATTTGTTGGGTCCACTGAAAGTTGTACTTCAAGACCCTTGGTCCTCTGGTTACCACATTCTTCACTTTCACAGACTCTTTTGTCTGCTAAGCAAAACTACTGGAAAAACATTTTCCATGGGTTGTGTTCATAAAGGCTAAATGAATGAGGTAAAGAGAAGGAAAATGCTGGAGTTTGTTGCAGCTGATTCAAAATTTTCATCTACCAAACTAAGGCTGATTAAGTCTGCTGCTATAGGAGCTGTCACAAAATGCATAATAATTTCAAACAGTGAAAGCTGCCACTAAATTAAAGGAGGTAAACCTCACAGAGGGAATAAATAACAGCAGAACTCAGTACAAATTTGAATGCAACATTAGATCAATTGATGAACATTATTTTGTCACATTAACCACTGCATTTGCTTGATTTGTTTTTAAGTCGTATGGAGACTATTGAGCTGTTACTTGCATCTGTAGTACCACTTGTGCTGATAAATATTCATCAAGCACATCAACATGGTCTATTGCAATTAATTCAGTTTCAGTTGGCAATGAATAAGTGGTTAGAGAAGCAGATCTAAAGATATAAACAGTTCTCAATGGTAATGCCAACTGTCAATTCACAGAAAGCCAGTTTGTATGAAAAGAAATTCAGGTTGACAATAATAGCTGCAATAGGATTCCCATGATCATTAATGAAAAACCTTTTGACAGACAGGATCTTCATCAGAAAACTACTTGGGTTATAGATCTTTTGCCTAATTCCAGCTTGCCAGAATAAAGTTTCAAATTTGAATGTTTCACATCTGTTACTATGCGATAAGTTGTCTTTTACTGGTCAAGAAGATTGCTACCAATCCCTTATAATATTCCTTTTGGTGATTACAAAAATAGTTATTGTTCATTGAGGTGTAGTAAAGTACCTGATTGCCTGAGGCCTGCTGTCACATTACTTGGTCTTAAAAAACCGTCTTTAGAGACCAATAAGATTAGCAGCTTTTACCCTATTTCCAACCTTAAATTTCCTGCCAAGGCAATTGAGAAAGTTGTAGTTCTGTAAGAGGTCAGTGCATTGGTTGGGGAAGTTCCTAAGTTCATATCAATGAAAAATGATGTATCCCTGATTCAGGACCACATCTGCCTCTGGGGTTACCACATATTAATCACACTCTCCTCCAGGCCATGATGGCAGCATTTAAAGTAGGTGCACTTGTACCAGGGTTTGGGCATTTCTTTACACACATTTTACATAGGTGACAAAGTGGAGCACCAGGTGAGAATGGTTCAATTTGACTAAATTTTTACATGCGTAATTTACAAGTGTGGCTATTGTTTTAAGGCTTAAAACAATGGTGACACTTGTAAATTACACTTGCCAACGTTTTATTACAATATTTCAGTAGACTTAGGCACTGTCGCCACATCAACTTGTCCATCTTGTAGATGAGAAAAGGGAAACTCCTCGTTTTGTGAGGTAGAGGAATGTGAAATCATCATGGAGTATCTTTGACCTCCCTTTGGCCTCTTGCAGTATCTGAGTATCATTTGTGTATTTGCCATAAAGGCATCCTGACATCAACGCAGAAGTAGAGTGTTTTAAGTTGGTGATGCCCTTGGACCGCCAGGATGTCTTTGTGGAACTCAGTTACTGGGCAAGAAAAAGAAAAGGGAAGATTTTCCATGACGTGTCCAGGTAGTATCCCATGTTTCATTTTAACATTCAACTTGCACAGACAGTTAAAGATACATACACCCAATGTGGTCTGCAATCTCCTTTGCAGCCGCTCTTTGGTGTCCTTAACTTGGTACTTCCTTTTGTTGTGGAGGTAGATTGACATACTCATCTGTAAAATGTAATTGGAGCACAAGTTCCAGGGTTAGGGCATTTCGTTTTTCCAGCACATTTGATAGAGGAACAACAATTTGCTGCAGCAATGAAAGTAAAGCAGTTGGTGCAAGAGATGACTAGGGCAAAATGCAACATTTCACAGGGCGATTGGTTTTTTTCACATCCACTTCTGAGTGATTGGATGATCATCTAAAAATACTCTAATTCTCGTTTATGTGAGTTAGTTTGAGTCATTAAAGAGAACATATTCTCCCTCTTGTTTTACCTCTTACAGTATCTGAGTAGCATTTGTGTATTCCCCCCAAAAGACATCCTGACATCAAAGTATAGCTGGAGCATTTTGAGTTGGTGATGCCCTTGGACCCTCAGGATTTGTCTTTTGTGGGGTCAGTTACTGTGCGAGGTAGTGTAGAAGAGGAAGTGAGGATTCTGTTTCGTGCTTTCAAGGAGAACCCTGTGGGTCATTCCAACTTTCACATGCAACTCGATACACAGAAAGATGAAGTAAAAGTCAGTGTAGTTTGTCACACCGCGGTGAATTGTTGCATCCTGGTGCCCCATAGTGTCTTTCACCTGTACTTCTTTTTTGTCACTAAGCAGATGGAATGCTGCCTTTGTTAAATGTGTTAGCACTAATTTCAGGGTTATGGGATTTGTCTTTATGTACATTTTACAGCAGAGGAATGTCAATTTGACTGTGTGATCAAAGTGAAGCACTTGATAAGAGAGACGAATGGAGACAAAGCACATTGGCTTTTTCCTCATCCAGCCCTGAATTATTTGATTACCCATGGGATTCACCTCATTTTTGTTAACCTAAGGGTGGTGGAAATTGAAATTATCATAGACAAGTTTCTCTATCCCTTTACCTCATTCAATAACTAATCAGCATTTATTCGTCCCCTAAGAGAGCATCTTGAGTTGAATTATGAGTTGGTGATGCCCTTGGACTCCAGGATGCTCTTTGGCGGGACTTAGTTACTGTGTGAGGTCGAAGAGGAATAGAGGATTCTCTACAATAATTTCCTTTGGTCACTGCAACCTTTTTGTATAGTTAATGCAGTGTGTGTTTGTATCTTGTCAGCAATGGTCTCTTTCACCAAGTGCTTCTCATTTTCTATGGAGGTAGTTTGACACCTTCCCTCTGTAAAATATGTGTTTATGAATGCCCACAGCCTGGTATGAGAGCTGCTGCTACTGTGATTAATGTACCTGAGGAGTTTGTGATAATTGCTGTGTGGGGTACTCACAAGTTACAAGTAGCCCTTATTCTGAGTTAAACCATCCTAATTTTCCAAACAGCTCCACACCAATCTGTCTCAGGACAATGCTAATATTTGGTTGAGCCAAAAATCTGATTGGATCTTAGAATTGTCCAAGAAATCAGGTAGTTTATCTGCTCCTCACATTGATGCTCAAAGCCTTTTTTAGAAAAGTTCTAGGGATGAAATGATAGATCTCTATCATAAGTACAACATAAACATCTTCATGGCAGCTTTTATTACTTTCTGCGTTGATGTTAAGTTGAACCACAAGGGCCTGATACCCTCGTCACTTTTCTTTTGGAGCTATTTTAAAAAAGTAGCTCATAAGTTAGTAGTCGGAGCATATGTGGCTTTGTGTGTTTGGCTGTGTGTTACAGGGACCATTTAGGTTTGAAGGTACTATGAGTTGATGCTAGGAACCAATGAGGGTTTGGCATCTTAAAGATGACATTGCTAAAGGTCAAACAAGGGCACTTTGAGACGGCCATCTTGATTCTTCCAATTTTTTCGTCTTTTATTACAGCAAAAGGTGTTAAGAAGCATAATAGCATTGAAATATCTGTATGATTCAAAAGCTGAGTACAGTGATGCAGCTATTTAAGGGTCCATATTTTAGTGTGGGTGCTGCTTCAAGACATTTCTGACCTAATTTGGCTACAGCAAACGGTATAACGCATGCATTTCATTATTTATGAGTTCTGTTTCACCTGCTTTAATGTTCAGTTAAAAGATCATAACATTCCAGTGAAACAATAATTGATATTAAGATATGGACTTAAATTCGCATGAGTTACTTTTATAATCCTGTTTACAGGATTACTGTGTGACAAGTCGAATTCCCCAGCGTATGAAGCCCAGAAGGGGCAGAGTCCAACACTTTCACCTGCAAAGTATGTGACTGTATATCTCATGCAGACTGGCTTTTCACAGTAATAATAGTAACCTGAATGTGTGACAACCTCTTTAGTTTTCTAAGTAGTGCCTTAAGTGAAGTCTCTTTTCTTTTAAGAATCAATGGCTTATAACACTTTTATAATCAAGTCGTCAGAGTTAAAGACTCTTTCATTCAGTAGAATCGCATGAAACAACCTTATAAATAATGATGATGCAACCATCTACAACAATGATAAAAATCAGTAGCATTTCTTATTTGATGAACTTCATTATCGTAAGAAACCATGAAGAAACCTTAAAACCTTCAAGTCTTCCGTCTAAGAAGCAATTTGCTTATTTTGCAAGGAAAGACAATAAAAAGTGAATCTACAGTATGAGGATCAACTCAGTTGTGCCAGCGGTTCCTGTTTTCATTAATGTACAGCAATACCTAATTTCTCACAAAAATGCTGAATTTTAGGATTAAAACAGTAGATTGTTGATATGGTTAACTGAAGCATTCAAAATAGCTCATGCACATTAAACGTGCCTAGCTTATTACTTTTGTCTTTGTAATGGGGCGAATTGGAGGCCATGTTACAGATATTGTTAAAATCTTGTGAATATTTAGTTTTATAGTTTTGTTTGTTAATGTTTTATATTTGATATACATATTTTAGCGGAGCTCTGGTGTTCGAAGCGCGCCTGCGAAGCACCATGGGTAAGTAAATCTACCCATCCCAGAAAATTTGGTAATAACGTAACCGTACAACGCCCACCCGTCCGTCTGCACCACAGGGCAACCAATGTTAAATCTCGCACTTTCTAGCTGGTTTGGGAGCACAGGAAGACTGATATTGCACACATATTGCGCATCAATGTTGTGATCAATTGACAGCTGTCAAAACAGGGTATCCGCTGACCAGTATCACCTGATCATATCGTGGGCTCAGGTGTCTACTGAATTCAGCTGCTCTCAAGAGTCCTCTGTTATTCATGGCTGGTTTGTTTATGGTTTTTGGTTGAGAAATACGTCGCTTTGGCAAGTCTGGCGGAAATCCAATATCGGATGGCATGGTTTTCGTTTTTCACCCTGCTTGATGCGTAAGACGGTTGAAAAGTCTGAAGCGATTCTGGCCTTACTTGATAGTTTTGAGTGCATCTCAAATGGTAAGCCTGAGTAATTATTGTATTCGATGTTTGTCTTTATATCTAATTTAATGAAGTCGAGCGTAGTTTATGCGGCTATTTGGTTTATGCACGTTTGTAAAATTTGAGACAATGATCTGACCGAGTATCAGGTTTGATTATAAGCTTATAAAGCCTTTAGACATTTTCTCACCGCAAATAGATAGAAAACGTTCCAAAGAATATTTAGTTATAATTCTGGCTGTAAAAGAAAGCTTTGAGCGATTTTCTTGCCTCGCGTTCATCTTTGAAAAAAGCCCGCTTAAAACATAAACAAGGATTTTCAGCGACACTTAAATACTTGTCTTCGTGAATGAAAATTGTTGTCTCTGTATATGTTTCACCAAATTGTTTTCCTTTTATTGATTGTTAGTAGTCTCTTTTGCAATTATAATCGCTCTGCTGTTTTTTTTCAGTCGCTCATGAACATCGCTTGCAGGAGTAGTCAAAATGCTGCGCGTTATAAAACCATTAAATAAAAAATTAACATAATAAATTCTTTATTATGTTGAAGCACATAACTCTATTAATCTTAATTTAAACAGTCGACTTTGGCGCTTGTCAAAAGCGAGAACCGGCTAGCCGTAAAGTGATTTTGGAAATATTTTAACGGTTTAGCTAAAAGCCCACGCGTGCTTTGATCGTCCTGAATATTGAATGAGTGCAATACTGCATTCTGTCCGATGTCTGTATGATAAAAACAGCGCCTCATGGTACTGTTTCACCTCAGATGTTATGTATAGAAAGCATGAAAGGTTGGTTTACATGTCCCCAGACTTGTAAGATTTTGTAAAGTATTAAAACTTGTCGAACGCACAAAATTCAGCCTGATTTGTTTTCCAGGCCTAATCTACTGTGATCAGGAGTTACTAAGGCTCTTAACTGTGATCGAAGATGATTGCACGCTATTTTTTGGGTGTACATATCAGGCTATCAACTCGATGTAAGATTAAGTTCACTCTTAGGTGGACTGTTTGCAAATTATTTTTCCCTAAAATCACTTAGCCTTTCCCTCAAAAGTCACATGAATGTGCTCTAAAGTTAACTGATTTGTGAAAAACAAGTTTATTGTTTGATTTCAATTATAAATTCGAGTTAATAGGAGCTTCGCTTTTAGCCCTGGCTAAGTCTATATATTATCCATGATATTGGTGTAATTACTTTGAAAAGCCATACGTCCCACGCTTGTGACATGCTGATTACTTCATCTTCACATTCACCAGCTTTCATTTTTTCACCATTAAGTATGATCTTTACATTGCTGATCCTAGCAGTATGCAGGACGCGTGTCAAATATGAACCTAGTATATGGCCTCGCTCTCCATGAGTTCTCCATAGCTCAGTGGATAAAGCCCTCGTCCGGTGTTTGGGAGGTCATAGAGCAGCCTCATAGCTAAGTAAATCTACCCATCCGAGAAAATTTGGTAATCATGTGACCATACACCAAATGATTGAGCGACTGTCTGTGTGCACCACAGGAAAACCAATGTTTACTTCCACACTTTCTAACTACTTTGGGAGCCCAGGAGAAAACTGACTGCATCAATGTTGTGATCACCTGACCGTATCGTGGGCTAAGGTGTCGACCCACCAAGGTTGAGTACTTTTTTGAAGTTATCCGCGGACAAGTTGCTAGTTTTAAAATGATCGCAGGCTCAAGTTTATTTTTTAAAAATTCATATGAAAGGTGTTGTGTTTATGTCACTATGGCCCCGCACTATTTTGCTTTCAAACTAACCTTGGACGCGAAAATTTAGCCAGTTATTTTAAAATACAGGTGGGACAGACCTTTTCTTACCAAGGTAATGTGTTGGCCACACTCTACATCTGATTTTCATACTCTGATTGGTCAAAATTTGACAGGTGAGTTCATGTGGAAAATTTACGCAGCATCTTGAAACTTGCTTACTTTGACAGCTGAAGCTGACAGAGTTTTGTGTCAACTTTTTAACTGCCTTTTTCCTCTGGATGTACAAAATGAAATACGGCTGCTGTCAAGAGTCTTCTCTTATTCATGGCCAGTTTGTTTATTATTTTTTTGTTTGAAAGATGTGTAGCTTGTCAAAGTCAGAAATCCGATTTCGGATGGCATCGTTTTCGTTTTTGACCTTGATTGATGCGTAAGAAGGTTCAAAAGTCTCAAATGATTCTGGCCTTACTTGATAGCTTTTTAGGGGCTGCATCTCGAATGTCACGCCTGAGTTATTATTTTATTTGATGTTTGTTTTTTTGTATCTAATTTCTTGCAGTCGAGCACAGTTTATGCGGCAAGTCTATGCACCTTTGTAAGTCGTTGAACAGCCCCCTCTAAGAATACCAGACAAATGTAACTGCAATGAATAGATGTTCATCTGCTCCAAGGTCATGGCCAGGTTTTTAATTACAACAGGCCGGTTAGTTTTCTAGTGGTCAGGAAACCTGTTTTAACCGTGGAAGGTTTGAAGGTCTCCATAAAATTGACTTTCCTTAAAATGCTTTTACATATCCTTTGACTTGCCCAGCCATTCAAAGTCATTTTGGCAAGTCTTCAGACAACGGCACATGTGATCTTCTTTGACTGCAAATTGCCAGTTTAGGATGTCGTTAAGCTTGAAATATCGCGTAATCTCAGTGCATTAAAACCATTATTAAAGTCTTCTAACGGGACCCTATAGTATGCTACTCCTATATCCTAAACTCTAAAACATTTGAACGCCAGATAAACCAGATAGGGTTAATCACTAAGGATCTTTCACAGTCGATGAAGTTTCATTGTAATGCAAATTATAATATTAATTTGACTGACTAACCAAATAGAGTTTTTAAGCTTTTGCAGGCTTCGCTCTTCCTAGTTGAATTTACACCTGAATTTATTCATCATCCCAAAATTCTCCCTCCTTTACCCTCTTCATAAGAAAGCGGTACAGTCCACAATTGCCTCTTGACTTTCATTCTCAACTTGCTCTCCCATTTTTTGCCCCGGTACCCTCTGTGATTCTTTGTAAGGTGATGGTCCCAGGCATAATTCGATTTGAGAAGCGCAACCGCCCTATAAGGTCATTCAGGTTTGTCATGCATTCCTCTCAATAACGTCATGGCATGTAGACAGAAGACGAAGAAGCTGGAAACCGAAAAGATGAATAGGAAAACCGAAAACCACATCGGACACCAAATCCGAAAAACTGCTTGTGTTGTTGCTGAAAACTGAAACTCAAATGCCAAAAAAGGGAAAAACTGTAACCTGCGACAGACAACAAAATCGAAAGACTGAAGTTTTTCATTGCAAAAACTGAAAAGCCAACCGAAACTAAAGCCCAAAACCCAAAAGAAAACCTTTTTGGGTTTACTCTCTTAGTCTGGCACAAGTGCTTTGGTAATAAGCAACAGACAAATACTTGCTATTATTGTTGTGATTATTATTATTATTATTATTATTATTATTATTATTATTTTTTTATTATTATTACAATTACAACAAAAGAGCGAATATTAATTTATCACACAAATGCAAGAAAAGAAAGAAAAATTAAAGATGAAGTGAACAAAAAAATATATAAAAATCTTCTGGTGCAATAAGGAAAAAAATAATGCATAAGACAATACGACAACAACTTTGTTTGAATCTTTCAGTTATAAAAGAGCATTGCTTTATGCCCACAGTCCATAATTAGCTTCTGATCCATATCCAGACGAGCAGAAGAGAAGAGAAAAAATATTATAGAAAGAACAAAGCAACAAATAAAAGATTAAAAAACCAGATGCCCTATATTTTGTATCTATTCAACAATTTTGTTAATTAATCAATAGAAAAAGCGTGATTTATAGATCAGCAATTTCAAAAACCTTTAAGCACATCATGAAAAAGGAACAAAATAATACTGGCTGTGCTCTAGAATGTGTTGTATGGGCATCTTCAACCAAAACAAGAATGACAAGGGTCTCTTTTCCTCCAGTTCTGTACAGTGACATCCATAACTGTTAACTATGCCAGTAACATAAATAATTTGCATATCTCGCTTGTTCTGGGCAAAAAGAAGAAAGCAAATTAAAGTTAAAAGATAATAAAAACACAAATGTTACATTGGTTCACCAATGAAAATATAGCTCCCATTAATGTATAATGTAAAAAATGGAAAAAATGCATTTTGTCCCTTCTTAGCTTCTGTTATCTTAGTTAGTTGTGCTTTTCTAAGTTTATTTAGTAGTTTCAGGGAAACAAAATAGCTGTTGACTCCCTACCCAACTTATGAGCAGCTGAGCTTGTGCTTCTCGTGACAGAGTGCAAGATACATGTTTTCCAAAAATTGATGACCAAAAAAACTAATGCTGTAAAGATTGGTGACTGCAGAATGGGAAAAAAAACTGTCAAAAAATACATGTAGCTAGACGGCGCAGAAGGAAAGAAGGAAGTGTAACCCAAATAGTTGTGAGAAACGTGAACATAAAATAAGGAAGAAAGTCTTTGTAGAGGAATCCAAACGGGAATAAAATCTAAAAGGGAATTATAACCTGGAAGATAAAATTGTACGATAAATACCTGCACATCAGCTACAAAACATAGGGCTCGAGGAAGTCTTATGGTGTAGAAGGACATAAGTATCCTCCTTTCATTCAAAGATTCCAAAATGTTTGACACTAAGAAAAAATAATCCAACGAACAAAAACCTTTAATTTCAGTAAATGGAAACCAAACTTTGAGTAATAGGATTATAAGGCTAGCCAGCCACCAAAAGACCCCTACACCACCCCACCCCCACACCCACAGGCGGACAATCACTGGCTATAAAAATATTTGCGTACCACCAAGGTATGGAAAAGCAGGAAAATGGGGTAAAGTTGTCGAAGAGGAAGAGGAATGCTCATTGCAATAACATGTTAATACTAAACACAAGAAATTATAAACAAAATGACAATAGCGTGAAAATGTGAAAGTTAATTAATGTACAGAATTATTCTGTGACAAAGAAGAAGAAGAAGAAATACACTAATACAGGTAATAATATAAATAGAAAACTATTTTCAATTAAAAGATTAAAAGATGTAAAACACGAAATATCATTAAGATAATTCGTTAAAAAGATTCTAATATACAATATATATTAGAGTCAAATAAGGGCAAAGGGGTGGTTGGTTTTGTGTGAAAGAGGTATAATCAGAGTGCCAAATTAGATTGTTTTGACCTTCTGTTGATAACGATGGTCAATCTGAGGTCAACCCTGAAATTTTTGGTCCTGGTTTCTCCCCTCAATCAATACTTGAAGACTTTGTCATTAATGCTATGTGACATCTAAAACTAGCTAGGAAATGTGGGCAAAGATGTGATTGATGAAAACAGTTTTCATTATTGTGTAAGCCCTTTCATAAAGGATATCACTGCTGATCATGAAAACTGAATTGAACAACACAATAAACAAGACTCATATTTAATGCAACGATTTTATTCACATCTGCTTATAAACAATTAGCTGTGAATGGTGAGGAGCATGGAGATGGCTGTATTCGCCGGCAAAGATACATTGAAACAGTAATGCGTGACACAAGTAATGCGTGTTTACAGTCATGTCTCCATTAGCCTGCGCGCAGACGAAATTAAACTCTGGTTAACTCCGTCTGGGAAACAGCGCCAAAATCCTTGTTCTGGACTTCCAGCTGTGTACCCAGATTTGAGTATGCACCACGATTGGCCAGTCACAAAAGACCTTTGTTTTGATTGTCGTGATCGCCTCCGATTGGCTGAGAGAATTTCCTATGGGGTTTGGACTGGAATCGAACAGAAGGAGCAGAAAAGCGAACGTGAAAGAGAATGGCCGCGGCTAGCGAAGAGAAGTGGAAAGAAGCCTTTGAGGCAGTCAAAGCACAGTTTGAATTGACCGATCTGCTTCCAGATTAACAAGAAGCTATCAAAGCTTTTTTAAGGGGTAAAAAGTATTTGTAAATTTGCCCACGGACTTTGGAAAGTCGCTAATTTTCCAAAGTTTGCCCATTGTCACAGACATTGTTTCTGGTAAGCATCGCGGTTCAAGTGTTATTGTGGTGATTTCACCTCTGCGGTCTTTGATGGAGGACCGAGTGCAAAACTTGAACAGCATTTGTATTCCAGCTATTGCCATCACCGATGTGGAGGATCTGGAAATTATTCAGCAGGTTTTAAACGGGAATTTTCACGTAGTATTTGGTTTGCACAAGTGTTTGTTGTCGACTGCTCCGTGGAGGGGCATCTTCAAAAGTGAAAGCTTTTCTGAAATATGAATTGGAGTGGCAATTGACGAGGCTCATTGTATAACACAGTGGTAGGTAAATTTCTCTTTCTAACGCAGAACAACGAGAATAAATCTAGGACCTTGTCACTGAACTATTCACACCTTTTATCTCCTTAGAGTTGAGTTGCTAGTACTATGAAATTTACACGTAGTCTGCTTTACACACGAAGCTTACTGTTAGATTAATACAGTTACGTCAGCGAAAGTAGAAACTGCGCTTGCATTCTGTCCGCACATTTGGCGGCAAAGTCTGCGATGGTTTAATAAAACACCATGGAGGTGACCAAATTCTGTAGCTTTTTTTTTCAACATTAGTCGGTACTAATAAATGAAAATGTCTGGCATTTAATTGTTAGCTAAGTTAATATCCCTTAAAAGAGTACTGATCACTGCAGGTATTATACAACTTAACCGAGATGCATGAATTGCATTATTACACTGTAAATGAGAACTTTGAAATATGTGAAAATAATTATTATCCTTTTAAGACTAATTCTCTTTGTTTTACGGGGGATTACCTGGGGCCAAGAACAAAGTTCCTTTCAGAAAGTGGTATGGATGCCTGGGAGAATTAAGGTCTCTAATTCCTCAAGAGTGTCAAATCATGGTCCTTACAGCAACTGTAACAAAGGCTACCAAGCAGCAAATACTGCATACACTCCGTATATGTGAAAAAGATCTCCAGCTGATTGAGCAGAGCCCAGATGGGCCGAACTTATTTTGTGGAATGTCATACCTTGACAAGAATGATGAGATCGAGTTAGCTTTTTCATCTTTGATTAGTGAAGTAAAGGAACTGAACATTGAGACAGCCAAAACATTAATTTACTATCAGACACGAAAACAATGTTCTGTGATCTTCCGTGTGTTTGAGGTATACCTGGGAATGCACCTGTACCACACAAGTACTTTGCCCAAAAATTGAATCGTTGAAATGTATCATGCCGGTACCCCTGGGTCTGTAAAAGATCACATTTCAAAATCTATGGCTTTGGATGAGGGGAATGTGCGTGTTTTGATATGCTCTGTTGCTTTTGGCATGGGGGTCAATTGTAAAAAAGTAAGACGGGTGATCCATTTTGGCCCATCAAAATCAGTTGAATTGTATGTACAAGAGTGTGGAAGAGCTGGCAGAGATGGCCTCCCTAGTTCGTGTGTATTACTGNGCGTGTTTTGATATGCTCTGTTGCTTTTGGCATGGGGGTCAATTGTAAAAAAGTAAGACGGGTGATCCATTTTGGCCCATCAAAATCAGTTGAATTGTATGTACAAGAGTGTGGAAGAGCTGGCAGAGATGGCCTCCCTAGTTCGTGTGTATTACTGTACAACGGTCTGCTGAGTAGTCACTGCGATGCTGACATGAAGCAGTATCTACAAATTGAACAGTGCTGCAGAAGGTGGCTAATGGAAAAGTTTGGTTCCAAAGAAAGTTCTGGGAGTTCAGACCCAAATGTAACGTCTCATGACTGTTGTGATATTTGTGGTGGTGGATGCAAATGTAGTAGTGAGAACTGTGGTGAGTTTTGGAGCCCCTGTAAAGACAGACCCAGTCTGCCTAAGCTCTCGACAGGTCCTACTAGTGACTGTGACAGCCTTGAAATTGTGTGGACTGTAACACGACAAGACAGAGACACTTTAAGGAAGAAGCTTCTCGAATTCCAACGTGAAATGGCAAAGCGGGGTCAGGCAGTCAAAATGGTTACATGTCCAACCTTTCTTCTGGAATTCAATGCTTTTCATGTCAACCAGGTCATTGAATGTTGTGAGAAGTTATTCTCTGTGGATGATGTTACAATTTATGCTGATGGGAGGTATTTTGGTGAACAACATCTATAGTAACATCTAGTAACATTTCCGTTGTTGTTTTAGGCACAGAATAGGTTTCATTATTTCTTTCTTTGTTTGAGGGGAGGGACTCTTCAGGTCTTTATTGTCTATAGTTTAATACCGTGAACCCTTCAACTACCAAATATGCCAGATTTATGACCTCCTCTCACAATATCAATACACTCTAGTGACCAGCTGATAGCTTATGAGTATAAATAAACTAATCAGACAGACATCTATTTTTATGTTTCCTCAGGGTTATTTGTGTCAACTTGTATTTAAGGAACTGTATATAAGCTTAAGCTTAATCTTTCTTTGCTAAGAGACTTAATGGTTATAGAAAGTTAAAACCCTTACCAGCCAGTTGGAATGGTACAGGGAGATTGTCAGCTATAGTTGTGCAGCAATCATATACTTAGATCGGTTGCGTAGACAAACTGCGGCTGCCATAGCCACTGCTCCAAAATGGGTCGTTCATTCTTGTTTGGCTCTGCTTTTGGAGTTAATGCATGCTACCAAGAGAAGTGAATAAAACAGAGGCGCTCTCTCCTTGATTTCCTCCGATGCTTTTTCCATAGTAAAATACGACATACTCTCTTTGTTTGTCTTTCGAAGACTGCTCGGTTCTTTCTTCGAACAAAGGTGAGAAGCCTCTGTCTCGATGTCCTTTCGCATTAACTCCGTAATTTCTTTTCAGACGGAAGAATTTTTCCATGCGGTGTGGGCGATTTTCCTGTATGTTCCACGAACGAGCATTTTACCAAGGGATTCTAAGTCTTGCGGAAGTTTTCTTTTGGCTTCCTTTGACGGCCATTGGACTCTCACAGACACATCCACTTTTTTTGCCACGGTTTCTATTACTTGGGCTAGTGTCCATCAAATCTTATTTAAATTCAATCGAATATTCAATTGTGTCTAATGACCAAAGGCCGTTGATATGCAATAGAAAATAATTAAACCGCTGAAATTACCACTGGAGTTTAAAACTTATTGAAGCTTTCGCTTGGATGATAAGTGACATAACATGCCTGGAAATGTATAAAAATGTAAAAACCATGCACTGAAGTAAAACCTGAATAAACTTACAGCGATTTCTAGACTTTGCTAACACTTGTATCATATGCTTAGTGTCCCGCACTAAGCTGAGATCAGGCTCTACTTTCATATTCCTGGGTAAATAGATTCCAGACCTGCAAGGTGAATCGAAAAGAATCCCATTTGGTACAGTACGTGTGAACCTACCGACTCTGGCAGTGCCCAGTCTGACAAAGCTGCCCTATCTGTCGGAGTTGCACAGGGCTCTATCCTGGGCCCACTAATTTTTTTAAATATATATGAATAATTTACCCAATGTCCTAGAACTGGAACTCAGACCTCAGAGTGAACGAAACTAAATTAACTTACTTTTCACACCAAAAAGACACATTTTACAGTAATACTGGCAGCCATGTAAGGCTTATTACAGTTGATGCCATTAGTATTAATTGAGCATGAGGGCATCCGAGTCTCCTTCATTGTTGTTTTCCTTCATGATAAAAATGGAACAGTCATCTTTGATTTGTTTTGAAAGAACCCTTAGCTTCCAAATTCATGAAATGATTTTCTTCTACGCCAGTAACAACTGCTTCAATCAATCAAAAAACTTTATTTTAAGAGGGGAGCACATGACAGTAGTGAAACCCTCTATGAAATGAAACTTGGGATATAAAGTTGAGCAATTACCTACACTAGAAATACTATAAAATGCAAAAATAAAATAGAAATAACTATTGATTATATATATATATAAATAAGTATAAAATGAACAAAAACATCTACTTATGTAGCTTCACTTATCCTAGGAGTGCTCAGTGCATAAAAATATGCAGAGCGAAATGCAAATGAAAAAGATAGAAGTTAACAATAACAAATGTAATAATAATAATAGATGTCTTTATTTTGTCCGTTAAAATACGTAACAAACATCACAGAGGGTAAAGGTATACAAATCATGAAAATCGCACAGATCATGTACAATAAAATTGTTATATAAAATCGATAGAACATTGGATATCTATATTGTTAAATTGCCAAGTTGTATTGAAACCTTATCCTATTAAAATAGCAATTCTTAAAACGTTCTGTATTAATCCGTGGTAATTGACTTGTTTGTTATCTTAACCTCTTGGATGACTCTTTGACTTTCGGCAAAAGGGGATATAATGGATGTGGTTAACATTGCTCTTAATTTTGGTGAACAACCTGCGGTCACACTTCTCTAAAAGGTCATAGATATTAATTAACGCAGAAGTGTAACGTTACTTATTGCACCTTTTTAAAAAGCATTGTATGGAGTTTGAATCTACCTGGCTGGTTCCGTATACTAGGAGTGCGTATGTGACCTTTGGCAGAACAATAGCCTTAAAGAGATGATCTATCTCTACCTGCGTGTATCCATCTTTTCTTAGTGATGTTAAAATGTACAAACACTTGTTTGCTTTCCGAAGTTTTCGCTTAACATGAGATGAAAACTTACAGTCGTTTTTTAATGTGACACCTAATAGAGTGAAACTGTCACTCTGTTCTATGCCACAGAGGGGGAAAGTTAGGTGTGACACCTTTTTTAGCCATACAGAGTTCTTTGCATTTGCTTGTGTTACAGCTCATATCATTAACCTCTGTCCACTCCAAAAATGCATTCAGTACCTTTTGTGATTCATCTACACCATTCTTACGCACAGTCACAAGAATAGAAGTGTCGTCTGCATACTTTGTAAGATCGCTATCCTGGCAGTACTGAGCAACGTCAAGATCGTTTAAGAACAGGTTAAACAAATACAGGCCGCTGACGCTTCCTTGAGTAGTACCGCAGTTGAAATCCTTCCAATAACAAACACAAACAGTAAAGGAGTTGTAACTTGGAGTTTCGCGCACTAAGGAATCATCAGACTAAAAATTCTGAAAACAGATTTTGGTTTTCAGGTGGAAATTCGAAATTCATGGACGGTTGGATTAGTGGGTTCTGTGATTGGTTGCGAAGAACTTGTTCAGTCTCGTTTCACGCACTAAGGAATCATCAGACTAAAAATTCTGAAAACAGATTTTGGTTTTCAGGTGGAAATTCGAAATTCATGGACGGTTGGATTAGTGGGTTCTGTGATTGGTTGCGAAGAACTTGTTCAGTCTCGTTTCTTCTGTTCGCATGTCAAAAGGATGTCAAGTGGTTTCTGTACCATTCTTTGAAGTTAGTGGCTAGTCCAATGTATGATTCCGTTGTTGTCCCTGTTACAGTTGCTTGGTAAATCACATTTTGTTGCAGGCAATTACCTTCTAGGGGACATTCCGGTTTTTTCCGGCAGTTGCACGTCTTTGATGGTTGTGCAGATTGTTCTCTAGATGATGTTACAGCAGCGTTTAATGAGAGGATCTTTTTATTGTGGGATGATAGAATGGGCTTCATGTTTGGCATGCAAGAGTACTTTTAGTGTGTGTCTGTTGAAGATCTTGTGTAGTGGGTGGTATTTTGGAAAGCATTTAATGATGATGCCCAAAGATTTTCTCCCTAGATTTGTTTTAACATTTGAGTCCCACGAAGGGTTGCCGGGCTGTGCTCTAGCAAAGCCCGGTGATCCCTGGTGCCAAACTTTCGCTCTTGGGCAACTAGAAAATCTCAGATTTTTCGTACAAATCATATGCTGGGCACCCTGGATTTTACAGTTTCAGTGCACTGGGGTCCCCTCAATTTTTCTAAGAGCACAGTCTTGGGTTGTACCATGTTATCTGCCTTTTTCTCTTGCTTTTCTTTTTTTTTTTTTATTGCTCCTGAAAAGTTGGGCACTCTACAATAATTATTCTAACCAGTTCAGAAAATATCTCTCTCTCTATAATATATACAGTACCATTAAGTGTTATTCTAAAAGGTAAATTAATAAACAATAGTTTATTTTAATTAATAAATAATCTTAAATGGCGTGCCAAATTTGTTACTTGCTTTGTCTTTCTAAAAAAGTGTTTTTTAGACTCCGAAACTTTTTGTGTCGTCAGAGTTTATGAGCGCTTTCTCCATGTTATTCCAGTCGTCAATTGATCTAACTGAGAATATTCGTCACCTTCAGTAGTTGTTGTATATGGGGCAGCATAGGTTCAGTTTGCTGAAACGTGTATTTATGGAGTAGATATCAGAATTCAGTTGAAGCATAGATTTTCCTGGTATTCAGGTGTTTTGTGTTCTGTTGAGAATCAATGTGCATCTGTTGATGTATGCGTCTTGATAGAAAGGAAGCAAATTTAACGTGTTGAACAAGGGCAATGAAAATGAGCATTGTTTTGTGTCCAAGATGATCCTCTTTTCTGTAGTCAAAAAATGTTGTTCAGGTTTTCCTTAGATGCGGTTGTCCAAATGTTAAAGCCGTTATAAGACAGCTGGTTTGATGACAGCATTGTAATATGTATTCTTAGGGCCTCTCTTTAAGCATGGACTGATACTTCTGCTTTTTCGCGAGAGCATTTCAATGATTTTTAAAAGCTAAGTCATCATCAGTCTCTACCACGAGGGATTTGTCTGGAGGTGCTGGTGGGGGTGTCACTGGTGGAAGGGGTTGTGTTGTACCTGAAACTGCCCCTTGCATTGAGGTTTCATTTTGTATGGATGCTGTCACAGTGTTTGGTATGCAACTTTGATGCTGTAGCAACTGGTGTTCTCTTGATACAAGCTTGTAGCACTTGTGGCAGAATTTAGCATTGCATTTGGCGAGGTCCTTGGTATCTTTATTTAACAAGACCTGGACGAGGCCACAAATCACTTAATAATTTAATAATTTATGAACTTATTGTGCGCAGCTTAACATGAGAATGATCAGCTGCGCATTACAACTGCATTACTTTAAAACAAACAAATAAAAGATAATGCATTAAAAAATAAAAAAGAAAAAGAATATATATATGCATGCAAGTAAGAACTGAATATAAAATCGCTCATTAATATAAAGTTTTAAAAAGATAATTCTTAATATGCGCCTTAAAAGTGTTCA